AGACAGACAGACAGACAGACAGACAGACAGACAGACAGACAGACAGACAGAAAGGCAGAGAGACAGACACATAGATAACTTTGATCGCCTGATGAAACGAGTGATAGGGGTGAAGAAGATCCTCATAAAAGAAAACTTTTAAACACAAGCAATTTTATGAACAAAGAAACATATTATGACACAATTTTAAAAAATTAAGAAAGGGTAAAGCAAAATATACTCACGCAGACAATGAAAAAATCCAGTAAAGTCCAGAAACTAGTGAAATATTCCGTTGCTCCAAGTCCAATGATTTTTAGAACCATTTCCAGTGCAAACAAGGCAGCAAATATGATATTACAGTACTTCAGCGCCTCTTCCATTGTTGGCTTTTGATATAAATAGATGTCTTCAAAGGCCTGGAAAGAGAAGTTTAAGATCACAGCAAACTGTGCGTGGCCAGTAAATACCGCTACGTTATACCAAGACAACGGCAAGACATAAATAAGCTGAAGCTGGGCTGGTGGATTTACAGAAAAGATGACATAAAAAGACATTGATAAACCAACGAATGAATAGTGTAGGGGTGGCAAATCCTCCACGCCTCCAAATGAGATAATTTAGGAGACTGGCTGCTTTGACCCTGAGTGTCGGGTTCAGGCTGGGCTGAGCGGGCTACAGTATTCCAGCAGACAAATGAATCTACTTGATGAAATAACTTCCCTACTCATAATTCAAACTCACAACTTCTGCGAGAAGTGAAGTAGAGTATGACCATTACGCCATAAATGCTGCTGCTGTGAACAGTATATATTATAAAAATTTAAAAAGGCAGACATGAATAATGACAGATAAAAAGGACATTGTGAAATCCTTGGGAAGAAAGAGTGAAGTCTACCTGCCAAAGGACATTTTGATATTTCAGAGGCGACTATGAGGTTACAAAAAATCACATGAGCACATACAGTATGTCCTGATGGGATGTACAACAGGAGAATAAGAACAAGAAAGTAACGACCAAGACAAAAGAAGAGAAGACTGCCAGCTCAATAAACTACCTGGAAGCTTCAAATAAATAATGTTTCTCAAGAATACAAATGAGCAATTACCAAGGTAAGACTGCTGCCGAGGATAACAAGAAGTACAATCGACTCGAAGATTTTGTGGTCCACCACTTTTTTCACAGCACAGCGAAACTTATGCCAGCACTGTCCACAATCCGATTCGTTGTATTTTTCGAGCCAGCTCATCCTGCAGACAGACAGTAGCACAGGTATGAGAAAATAATAATAGTGTTCTGGCACAACAACTGTTTCCACGTTCATTTGTCTTATATGTGGGTAAACACACAACTGAAGTAAAGTTTGACCCAATTTTGGCCAGAAAGGGTATACAGATTTACACTAAAAAAGAGCTCAATTTTAAAGTAAAACAAACAATTAGAAATGGGCTCTCAATCTTTAGCATAAAATCTTCGCCTGCAAAAGCCAGCTCAATTACATAGCTGCAGCTGCCAACTTTTCAGACCCAGCCCCCCCCCCAAAAAAACACACACAAAAAAACAAAAACAAAACAACAACAACAAAAACAAACTCAACCCACAAAGTATAGTGGGTCAAGATGATGTGCATTGGACGGATCCCCCTCCAAACCCTTCACACACATTCTGCATTCAATAAATTCGAGCTTTTCAAAGCAGACTTGCAACAAGAAAGTGAGAAATATTTAGTAAAAATCTTTAACTATGGTAACATCGAAAGTTCATAATTTCTCTTTATCGGCAAGTCTATGAGGAACAATACTATTAAACTGAGAAAACGTATTTTCTTACTTCTGTACTCAGACCCTCAAAACCATATTTAGTGCATTTTTACATACTGGTTGGCAGCTACGCATGGAAGAAATGGAAGACCAAAGGGTTCTTAAGATATTCTACAACTGCCAGCACTTGAACCACACATGTCTGGTCATTTATCTACCAACCAATTCAACACACACCTTTGGAAACAGAACCAGCAACCCCCCCCCCCCCCCCAGGAACATGAATATGAGCAATAAAATGCTGAGCAATGGTCCAAGATCATAATTCTTGCGTCAGTTGGCTCTGAAAATTATCTGTCCTCTTTAAATAATGGTTAAGGGGGAGAAACGAATAGAGGCAAATCTTGCGAAAATAAAAATAGCTATAAAAATGATAAACCCATTTACTATCCCAAATGTCTATTATCAACGGCAGATGGAAAAGAAAAATTCAAGGGAAGACATTAAATCACAGAAGTTTACCGAGATCTTGCCCATTCAGGGAAGCAGCTCTTTGGACTGGTGTCCACTTCTTCTTCTTCCTTCTCGTTTGCTGCGTCTGCTTGGGTGTTTTCACCTTCCTCCTGTTCTGTACTCTGATTCTTACTCTCCGTACCTTTAGAACTATCCTTGGAGTCTATTGCCGACCGAAAACTGGCAAACTGAAGTCTTTTAGTCTTAGTCTCAAAAGCATCTTTTTTGTCCTGGAACAGCATTGAGAAGAAACGTAAACATGGTGTTTGAAGGAACTATGGAATACTATACGACAAAATGAAGTAGACAAACTGCAAAACAAATGCCCGAGGTCTAAAGAGTGAGATAACACCCTTACTTTCATACCACCTCACATTTAGAACTTTCTCTGGCGAAGTGATCATGAAAAAAGACCATAAGCCTGGAGTAGACTCCAAGAAAAAACAATTTGACTTTAAAAGACAAAAGCGATCTAAACTTTTATTAGGATTTAAACCACATATTCAAATTAAGCTCACCAGAGGTAGCACACAAATTCCTGAATGACCAGTAATGTATACAACACAGACATCAACCCTAGAATTCTTAAACGTTCCCCTTATATGAAAGAAAAAGAATTTGAAAGAAAGGAAAGGAGAAAGGCAAGAGAATATTATGGATTTCGTAATTCACTCACAAAAACTAACAAAATATGTATCTCTCTTACTTTTGTGTTGGGTTTGGCATTTCCATTGGCTGCCTTGATGTTAAGTACTTCCTTGCTTCCTGAGGTGGGTGAAGATATCAAATCCTCTTCGGATATAATCCTATCGTTGGAGATACCAGTGCCTACAAATGATATGGTCAAAGAGTCAGAAGGTTAAATAAATAGGCTTGGTTGTGTTATAAAAGTTGACTCTTGGATTTGATCTCTAACAACACATTTTATCTTCAAAGTTATTGATCTTTTTCCAGCTTTCAATGAGTTCATATAATAAAAAGCACAAAACAATCAGCATTTTTTTCTATCAATATTTTCTTATAGTATAACTATGCCTTTAAAATGTTTATTTATTCTTCACATCAATCAGCAAAAAAATAATGTCAACAATACAAGAATGTGTACAACTGAAAATATAATACATTAATTCTCAGTGTGAGAAATAAAGACTAAGCTACACAAGACATCACCCGAATTTCATTTTTGACAGGCGTTTGAGTTACTTGAGATAGACATTCTCTGAACCCAACAACAACAACAAAAACAATATTAAAGAGATTAGAAACTCATACCCACTATTTTTCCATGCTGGAAGAAATAATTATTAACAATTTCATCTCTTGTAACAGACAAACATTTACTCAAAAGTATTTTAAGGACTGCATTAAAGGAAAAATTATCTTTAGCCTAATAGAACAACACTCTGAGAACAGAATACTGCAATAGCTAAAACCAAATTACAATATTCCCTTACATTATTTCCTTCGATATAACATAATTATTATCTTTATGTTGATAGCTCCAATACGATCATTGTATTTATGGTATATATATATACAAAAGGAAGGAGAAGATTGAGCACAAGAAGGAGGGTATGATGTGAAGGAAAGATGAGAAGGGCTGGAGAGGATGGGGCGCAAAAGTAGGAAGGTCAACAACAACAACAAAAAAGAGTGAAGCAAATAAATGAGAATATGGGTTATTATAAAGTTATATATACAATTGGTTCCAATTTGTGCAAGCAATGATGGTAACGACCATCCAGAGGATTACGTTAGTGCTGCTAGTGTCAATAAAATAATTTAACACACACATAGATCGTATCTATTTTTAAAAAAAATTATATGCAGGAAACTTAAACGTATTCATGACTTACCATACATGTACAGTCCAGAGTTATCATATCCCTCCCGCCCCCCCAACCCCCCCCCCAACCCAACAGCCAAACAACCCCCCCCCCCCCAACGCACACACACACACACAAACACACATACCCCCGCCCCCAAATAAAAAAAATTAATAATATAGATTCAAAACATGAAAGAAATAAACAAAATAAAACAATATAAGAGATAACAAGAAGAACAAATAAATACAAAAACTTTCTTTGTTAATTTTCACAAATTGCACAGGGAGTACACAAGAACAGAACTACATTTAAGACCAAATAGTGCGACCACAGGAACCATTGAAAATACAAATTAAAAAAGAAAGATGAGTAGAAGGTCAAAGCCACAAACTTGATCAATATCTGAATTGCCTTTGTATGAAATACAAAGACAACTCAAAAAAAGGGGGGGGGGGAAATATATATATATATAATATTCCAACATTAACAATACTGATTTTAGAAATACAAAGTGCACCCAAAAAGGAAACTGAAACATTACATAAAAGGAAAATCCAATATTAACAATACTGACTTCAAACAAAAATGATATTGCTATATAAAAATACTACATGTACATGTATATTACAGAAATATTGTTATAATCCGTGCTAAAATCGGGCTCTTATTAATACTGCAACAGCAGGATTTTCAGACATTATGATAAGGCTAAGAATAAAACATACAGTGCTTTTCAGTGCGTGTTTATAAAAATGTGTCTTGAAATAAATTCTCTACAAATATAAATGAAAATAGAACATTTTTTATCATTGGATTTGAAAGAGAGACTAATACAAGACACATCTCTGTTATACTACATATCTATTGAAAACATTAAATTCTTGTGATAAGTAAAGCTTTGTGAAATTTTTTCAACCTTTCTTAAAGACAAATTTGTAATTTTAAAAATCTGTAATAACGTCCATGGAACAAACAATTCATAACAAACAAAGTATTAATCAAAAGTGCATCTGGGTGCTGCCATAAAACTGGGTGAAACCATTTCTTTTCTTAATGTGCGAACAAACTATGTGGATTCTTCTTACTTTCAGAAATGTGAGTAATGTGAGGCACAGCAAATCACAGACGGGAATATAGTTATGTTAGTGGAGGTTAGTATTGATACATTCCAATGCCTCAAATCTGCTTTTAAAAAAAGTAAATATGTAGCAGACCTGAGGCATCGGTCACCCGTATATTCGTGCAGACTATCACCTTTGGAATCATCTGTCATTTCCTGGCCTTCAGATGCATTTTGATTTGCGTCAGTCGTGGGTTCCACCTTACCATTAGGGCGAGGGCAACAACAACAGCAGAGCTGTCGGAGTCTGTCGAATCCTTGGAGGAACTTGGACCTTTCTACGCTGGACTCTCTCTGTTTGTCTAAAGAATCACTGGCAAACGCATTGAGCAGCAAGGCCAAGAACAAGTTGAGAACCTGCAATCAACAGTCAAAACTTCTCAGTGCACTAAACAGTTCTTGTCAGATTGTTGTTGATTTTTTTAAAGTATAAAAAAACCCCAAAACAACAACAACAAAAAAGGTAGGTTTTTCTTACTTATTATAGCTGGTTTACTAGTCAGCCTTTCCTTTTCTGCTAAATATTCTTATGCGTTTTCAGTTTCTTTTCTTAGCCCATTTTTTGTTTTCCTGCAAAATACAGAGAAATCGGAATCACTTTTAACTCTATTTAGAGGGCGCTAGAGAAAGTACTTTCCATTCTGCTTCCGCCTTTCCCCTAAGGATCTCAGGAGCGTAACTGCTGGTTTGCTCTTCAGCTCATACTGCAACTGATGTCCATGTGAATGATCATTATTTGTTAAACAGTCAAATCCATGGCCTTTCATGAAGTCCCAGTCCATTTTGAAAAGGCACTCTTAACATCTCTTCAGCATGCCATACATCCCTTTGTTGGTATGTTGGTATTTAGACAGAGGGCGGGGCTGCTGCTGGTGAATGAACTTTTCACAAATATGTAAAGCCCAAAGCCTTGACTTTTCAAAAATGTTCATGGGTAAGCATAAAAGGAACAGCAATGACCAAGCTGCAATAGGGATATGTAGCAACCGTATGCCACTTTTACAAGTCTGTAACTTACATTGTATAGATTCTACTGCAAGGCATGCTCACCTTCATCTTTTGAGAGTTGTCTTTCATGTGTGCAAAAGGTATATGCAACTCTCATACTCTGTTTTCCTTCTTTATCCTAGAGGGTGCGGTGGAGGAGCGGTTAGTGCGCTCGTCTTTGAAGCGGAAAGTCCGGGTTCGAGCCTCGGTTCGGACACGGATTTTTTTCGCCTCTTTCTACCCACCCAGCAGTAATGGGTACCTAACTTCCAGTTGGGGAAGTAAAGGCGGCGCGGAAAGGAACTGGCCACCCTACCACAATATGACGAAGGCTCAGGAAGTTGTCTCACTAACAAGGCAATCCCCAATGTCCGGATCGGATGCGGGAACAACTTTACTTTACCCAAGAGCACTTGTAAAGAATGCTTATGTGGAATAAATTGGAGAAAAAACACGGAAAGGGAGAGAAGGCGGGGGTAGGATATAATACTCACAATAAAGTTTCCAAAAACTAAAGCTGGCAAGAAGACCACCATGCAGAGCTCATTACTAGCTCTCATACACTGGTAAGATGCCTCAATCCATTCCCCACACAGAACTCGGAATATCATCAGCATCGATCGATAGAAGTCCTTGAAATTCCACCTGAGATGTAATTAAAGCACAAGGCTATTATATATAATAATGAATTAAATAACAACAGTAAATGATTTGATTGGCAAAAATGGAGAAAAGTGATTTGTTAAAAAAAAAACCCCGCTATGAATCAATTACAAAACTTGAAAGCACACGCTGAAAGACTGTTGGGAAGACAATAAAAATGTTTATCTCTCAGAAACCTCATGTATTGTTCTTACATTCTCGTTCTGAGGAAGTATTTAACTCAGTTGATAAATTATTGGACATCACCTTGGGTAGCCGAGGCTCAATTAAGATTCTAAACAAGGAAAAAGTCCACTCTTCAACCTTAATCAGGTCCGGTCGACAAGATGAATTTTTCCACCGATGAAAACGATAGGTTTCTTGTAGAAATGCCAATCATTTATGACCTCATAAAAAACCTAATGATGATGGTTCTCCAAAATGAATTTATTGAAATCAGATACATCAAGTGGATGGAAAAAGTCAGCAGGAGAATGCCAGAAATTTATGACATCACCCCCCCCCCCCCCAAAAAAAAAAAATAATTAAAAAATAAATAAATAAGGGGAAAAATAACCCCAAGAGGTGAGTCTTTTCTTTTGAAGATCTTTTTTAACATTCACACAATTAAGTCGTAAGGCATAAAAAAAAGTCACCTTGGTGTTCCGTCGTCTCCAAAGTTGGCATCGATGTAATCCTCACGAAACAACTGCAGACCGATGACAGCAAAGATGTAGATGACAATGCCAAGAATGATGCACAGGTTACCGAGGGCCCCGAGAGTGCTGAGAATGATGGTCAGCAACAGTCTCATGGTGGCCCACGACTGGGCCAGTTTGAACACTCTCAGCTGAGGAAGGGAATACGTAGTTCGTAGGTTTAAATAACAGAGCAGGGAGAGTTATGAATACATGATCATCCTAGGAATGAAGAAAAAAGTCAATACAAAAAAAGATTGTCAGCAAGTAAATCTGTAGAATGCACTAAGATTAACAGCATGTTAAAACAGGGAGAAACCAACAGCAGGACTACCAGAAATCTACAACACCAAACTCTCATAATGTATTCATAGCAAATACCAAATGCTCAACGTTCTGAAGAGTACATTCAAAAGGATTTGCAAATAAATTTTTTCCTCAGCAATCCATCTCTCAAAACAAAGTGATCTTGAATCATGATCACTCAGAATTTAATCAATAAACTTTTTTTTCTGTGGAATCCAGCTAAGCCTAAACATATTTATCAGGCGAGGAACAATCGTGTAAAGATATTTTCCTTTTTAAATTGTGAAAACTTATTGTTAGCCACATACTTAAACGAACTAAGCCGACGATTTTGAAGTTTGAAAAATTAGTTTTTTAATTAGTGGTATTGTTTGCAAGTGCACAAAAATATGTGATCGAAATTCAAAATTCAAATCTTGTAAATAAAAAAAGCAGAAAAAAACATAATGTAGGTACAATTATTAAAAAGAATAAAGCAGTTTTTTTCTCTCTCAAGTAAAATTCTGCTTTCGGGGCTTAGTAGAATTCAACAGCCTGCAGACGTAGCACGCCTACACGCCAACCAACAGCGTGCATTTCTCACCAAGCGGAAGGTCCGGAGAACGCTGAGCCCGTCCACCTGCTCTAGACCCATGTCCAGGACGCTGGCGATGACGATGATCAGGTCAAAGATGTTCCAGCCGCTCATGAAGTAGTACTTGCCCAGGCCGATAATCTTACACACTGCTTCAATGATGAACACCGAAGTAAATATCTGAAAAACAAAAACAAAACAGCATAATATAATATTCATTATCGAAGAAATTATTCTCACCACTCCACTGTTACACAGCTTTACTTGAAAGTAGCAGGTAGAACACACAACTGGCCAAAAAGCAGAATTCTAGTCTAAAGAGATGTAACAACACACCATTCTTTGAAAGTTCCCTGAGGCCGTGAAACCTTCTCCTTATTGATCTCGTATAGAGGTCGTTGACTGAACATGAAAAAGAGTTAAATCTATGTCACAGACTAACGAAATCTTGCCGAATAACAATCCATTGCCGATCTAAACAAGGCCACAATCTTAGCAATGATTCCTGTCTCCCTAAGCTACCTCATATCAAAATTATTATTATTATTATTATAGTAAATGTACTGTGGTTATAACCAAAACCTGATAGCAAGATACCTCTCCTAAAATACAGTTCCTCATAAGCATTTGTTGAATGGGGGAGAATTTGACAACAAATTTTTGCTCACATTGAATACTTCACCACCATATTCTATCTCTGACTATATACATTGTTAGGACTGAAAATAAATCCTTACGTAATTGGAAATGTTGAGAGCGAGCGTTAAGCCGGAGTCCTGATTATGGTGTTCTAAAGACAGAAACACGGTGTTCAGGACGATACAGATCGTGATGACCAAGTCAAACAGAGGGTCCTGGACAAACGTGTAGAAGACGTTCTGCATCTTGAGCAGACTGATGTAGCAGCAGCAAAATCTCTGACAACAGTCACAGTTGCGGTCAATGACCTGGCCCTCAAGTGCTCCGATTTCTGGGTCCAGGAGGGAGTCCGCTGGAAGAACAGGACAAAGCAAAGTTATATCGGACTAGGGGATACGCTTAAAGCAGACTACATTTATAACATGACTACCTATGAAGTCACCAGCTAGAAACAGAATGATCTAACGAAAACGTCGGGAAAGCATCTGAAAAAGTCTTCTGCTTACAAAGCTTTCTTGAAAGAGAAACAGTAATGATGCACAAAGCCTCTTAAAAACAAAATCAATTTATTTAAAAAATAACAAAAACAAGTGTATCCCCCCCCCCCCACACACACAAACACACACACACACGCACGCACACACACACATACACACACACACATGTATCCCCCCCCCCCCACACACACAAACAAAATAAAACATACGCCCAAGTACTTACTCCGTACACAAAGTCACGACATCATGACAATGAGTAAAAACATGAGCATAGATATTTTTTTAATGGATCAGTGGACGAGCGAGTAGATATACGAAAGGGCCTTTGCTTGGGTAGACAGACTGACAAAATGCTGGAAATACAGATGTGTAAGTAAAATTTCAAAGCATTGTTTGGCCGAAGTTACCTTTAATGATAACAGGGTCATCGTTACTGTCCCCTTGCTGTTTCGCTGTGATTGCCGCTGCTGCCACCTACAGAGATAAATATGTAAAATAATTTCAACGAAATTATGTCGGTATCCTTCCACAAAAAGAAGACCAAAAAATGATCGCAGGCTTCTGCAAGCCCTCTGAAAGGATAATTTATTAGAACGATTTTATGAGCAAACCCAACAAAATAGTGGAATGGGCATGGCAAGTGAGAAAATACGAATGCATCAGACTTTTCAGACAACTGTGTGAGATGGCTCACGTATGTGATATGCGTTGAGAAACGTTAAACAAGCTAAGTCGACAAAGACATACAACTTTATTTGTCACTTTTGAGGAAAAGGGTTCATCGCCCTTTTTAATAATATATGCGCTACTGAACATTCCAGTCATCAAGAGCTAGATCTAGCATGACGTGGAATACCCGATTGCATTGTCAATAAACAGAAACTTGGATCTTTTTCCGATTATGCTCAACGAAAACGGGAAATCAAAAGCTGCACTACAATAATAATGCAACTATAGCAACAGTCGATTGGTGGATTTTGCTGAAACTGCATACCTCGCCAGTAAATAAATATTGCAATTTTTAACTGTCCATAGCATAGACTCGTTGGTGATAAATGAAAACACGTTCTTGGAGACACAAGATACACCCTTCTCCCAGCACTACGCCAAATGTATGACTTAATACATTTTAGAACATTGATGAAGACACATTCGTTGAATGAACACAGAGAGAACTCACTTTGTGACCTTCCTTTACCTTCCGTCTTACTGTTTCTGATCAATAACTCAGATTCCATCTATTGTTACTTTATAATGAAATAATAATAATAATAATAATAATAATAATAATAATAATAATAATATAGGCCACTGTTTCACCAAAGGGTGCACCAAATCCTCTATTTAATAGGCTCCCCTCGCTGTTGATACGACGTAAAACTATGCAATTCAGATATGCCACATGATTTTTCGAAAGAGCATGTGCCAAATGTTACATTACGTATACAGGTATCACCATATTGTGTTACACGTTCTAATATTATTTTTAGAAAAATAGCAAACGTTATTTCGTGGACTACATCTGGCCCTGACCGTATATCGGCATTAAAAAAAATAATTAAGATGAATTCATGCCAGCAGACTGAAGATACCACTGACACTAAGTCATACATGCCATGCCTTATGTTACCATTAAACACAACTATATGACAGCCATTATGTCTCTCTGCTAATTTCCCACCAACAAGACTCCTTTATCAGGAAAATCTAGGGCGAAATACAGTGGCAACAGAAATTTATACACGTTTAAAAACATGCTCGCCTAGAAGACAAACACGAATAATGACAATTAAGGCATGCTGTGAAAGACACTCGCTTCTTGTGTTGTACGTTACATTGCAGACAGGTAGTACAGTTACGTCATGAAAAGGCCAATCTACGTCTAGGTTATGCTGCGATAAAAACATGGGAAGTTGGCCTGTTTACAAAGACAGCTCTCACTGAAAAAAAGACAAGGCAAGTGTGTCTTGTCGCTACATTTAGCTATTACAAACCGCGTCATGTAAGAACATACCAATTCACAAACTAATAGATTTCTCTAGAACTATAGATTTTCTACTGATAGACCAACAATAGAAGAAGAAGCAAAAGGCAAAGAGACTTCTGATCACACAGTTGGCTGGATAATCGTTTTCACTTGTTTAGAGAGATAAAAGGTTTTTACGTGGGTAAAGGAACATGGAGTGGATGAATGTGTGTGTGTGTGTGTGTGTGTGTGTGTGTGTGTGTGTGTGTTTATGTATGTGTATGTGTGTGTGTGTTGTTTTTTTTTGGGGGGGGGGGGGGGGCGGGGTGAAGGGACGAAGGCTGGGCGCGAAGGAGTATTGGGTAACAGTAAGAAATCGAATCAAAATATTGGGCTAGATACATCTTATAGCTCTGTTATGTTAGACGGAAGTCATTTGATTAAACTCAATTATCAGGAGCAGCAGTAAAGTTATATGTCACCCCTCTTAAATAGAATTGGGATATGAAATATCAATTCACAGTTTGTTTTTTCTTCCAATCCGTGTACTGATTTTAAAAAAAAGATAAACAATGTTAATAATGTTATGACAAGATAAAAATATATACCCTGTGGGAAGAGCCACTGGTTTCGTTTACGGTATTATCAAAGAAGAGCGTTAAAACAAATCTCCACACTCTGGGATGGATGCGTTAATTTTCTTTTAAAATGCCGTAAAAAAAACAACAACAACTGTACAACAAAGCATTGCAATAGGGTTGTGGTGACAGAGTGCAGAAAGTGAACCAAACACTCCACGAGGTGTGGGCCAACTCCGGCCAGCGGCTAAGCCGAGATTATCCAGCAGCGGAGAAGAGGGATTAGCGAGCTGTGGAAGGGACATGCTTGTGTCAAGTCAATTCAAGGCCACAGGCTTGAGCCGGAGCTGTTCCAGTGGCTAAAGTGGTGGAGGGAAGAACAGAACAAGGGGCCAATATCTGGGTCCCTGTTATTGTAAGGAGAGGCGCTCTGGCGGAAGTATGCGGCGAAGATGAGAATTAAAAAGCTTTTATTTTTTGCTTCAGCAGACACAGGTGACGGAGCATATTTGACGAGGAGCAGTGGGTGCCACCGCGTTAAAACTCGGTCTGAGAAGGGATACTTCACAGAGCTATTTAAAAATAAACACTTAATAATATATTTCGCAACAGCATGCGGACGCCGTCACCGAGGTAGCTAAATATTTGGGCACATGTCACGCTTGCTTAGACTACAAATGTACTTGACTAATTAGGCCCGCAAAGGGTTCCGTCAGGCATATCGTTGAGAAATCTAAACCCTGTATCGATCATAAAATCGGACCATATGTTAAAGCCACTTTGAGCTTAAGAAAGTTGTCTGGAAAAATGTCTTCTACCACAAGATTAGCTTATGCAAAATTAGCACCTTTACATAACAAACATTTGGTTCCCTCACAAAAGTCATCGTAAACTGAGCCCAGCCGTGCAAGACATGACTCAAGGCACAAAAAGTCTGCTAATTAATCAAAGAAAGTTTAAGGTGCTTCTGAGTTGTGACTTAACTTGTTCATGTCACAAGGATTCTTCCGGAAGACTCCATCATCTCCCATGTGTCTACAGAGCTCAGGGGAGGGGTGTACGTGCAACTCTTCTTCTACCGCTGAAGCTGATATCACCCCCCCCCCCCTTCCCACTCTCTCTCTCTCTCTCTCTCTCTCTCTCTCTCTCTCTCTCTCTCTCTCTCTCTCTCTCTCTCTCTCGGGGTGGGCGGATAGTAAGCTGAACTTCATCTCTGGAAATTCTCATTCACATTCCATATATGACCATAAATCAAGAAGGACCCACAGTATGATATAAAGATTGTCAAAACTTAAAATCTTAATCGCACATTAAGAAAAAAAAACTCGCTAAAAATTAAACATAACAAAACAAAAGACTCGTCTAAGTAAAGTTCTCCCCTTCCTTTCCCACATATATTGACAACAAATACAATCAACCATACTTATATACCAACATGCATTCATCCTCAAACAAATTTTGACGCATAAACATAAAGAGCAAGAACACTTATTGATGTTTTTAAGTGAACTTGATGTGGCTTATTTCACGATTATGAAGAGTCCCAGACTATAGAGGGTTTTTTTTGGGTTTGTTTGGTTGTTGTTGTTTTTTTGGTTGTTTTTTTTTTTCTTTTTAAGAAAAGGATTTGAGTGGGGGGGGGGGGGGGGGGGGGGGGGGGGGCACACATGAGTTTCTGCAGTGTCGAGAATCATTGATCAAACAGTAATCTTTCGAGGGGAGATAATTCAGCCCCGACTTAAACAGGAGCACTCCAATATAAAGAAACAAAGAATTACAAAAAACAAACAAACAAACAAACAACAACAACAACAAAAGAACAAGACAAAACAAAACCACAACAACAACAACAACAAACTAAAAACAACAACAACACAAAAACCCCAGACATCATCTGGCCATTGAGATTTCAAGACGACACTGTATCCTCCTTCCACCCACTTTAAAATCATTCACACAGGAGAGAAATAATTATGTGCACCCAAGCCATGGCGCAACTTCTCCATCCTTCAGCTCCTCCAATCCTTTAATTTTATCTCCGAACTTTCTCTTCAGCATAGGTAAACAATACTAGATGTGACGGAGAGGAGGGGAATAGACTTTGCCCGGGGGATAGTGGTTGGACGCCGTTTGAAAAAATAAACAATGTGACTTTGTTTTACTTGTGACATAGTCTTTATCATGACAGGTATTTGAATGTTTTCATTAAGACAGTGGAAAAGAACCCCTTAGATACATGACTATTTTGTAATAAGAAATGAGGGTCTTATAGACGGATAACTGCACTCAGACAATGACGTTTCTTAGTTAAGTGTTTGGGAGCGTTGGTAGTCGAATGGAAATATGGAAAAGATGTTCGAAGTTTGGGAAAGTTAGAAGTGGCAAAAAGAGTAGCATATAAATATAAAGTAGTAACTAATCAAGAGCATAAGAAAGGACCATGGTCCAGGAAGGTGACATTGAAGGCAAAAGGTTTCGTTTTGATGTATTTTAAAACATATCTCTTTGCCTCACAGGCATAACTGTAAGTAACATATTTTCCACAGAACAAAACAGATAGATTAATGAATGATAAAAAGAGGGGGGGGGAGTCAGAGAAGAACACAGGAGATAAAGAACAGACAAAAGAAACCCCAATGGCCATTGAACCCAAAACAACGAGCCAAAACCTGTTTCAGTGATTTTGAAACCAAGAGCAAAATGGAGGGAAAAACTAAACAAAACATCACAAGAGACAAGGTTAAAAAGAAGCAAGAAGCCTTAAACATTACAGAAATGTTCATTCTGGTACTGGGTAATTTATAATATTCCTTTATGCTAAAAGTGAAAAGAAAAACCCTGCACCCACCAGTTGCCTTGATTTAATGTGCCGTCATGCATACGTAATCACGAAAAAAACCCCGAACAACAACAGAAACACAACAACAAAACTAGCTGCATGTAACCCTAGAATACGAGATACCACAATAAATACACATTTATGAAATCTATAAGAAATTTCAGGAGCAGCCTGCAAGCTAATTAAATCCCTACTTTCGAAATCCTGCTTTCTTGCGTAACAAGACACAGATGCGATTATTTTTACCCCCCCCCCCTTCCCACAAGAAAAAAAAAAGGAAAAGGGCAAAGATTGTTTGGGAGAGAGAATGAGAGAGAGAGAGAGAAAGAGAGACAGAGAGACAGAGAGAGACAGAGAGACAGAGAGAGACAGAGAGAGACAGAGAGACAGAGAGAGACAGAGAGAGACAGAGAGACAGAGAGAGAGAGAGAGAGAGAGAGAGAGAGAGAGAGAGAGAGAGAGAGAGAGAGAGACTGTAGGCCAACGATAGACGTCAATCTGCGCTCATTGGCTGCCTGATTTGACGTCATAATCGGGGACGTGTTCTTGCTCTCCCGAGTCTTAAGAACACACAACGATAATTCATAAATTATGTCTGAGCCGTGCCTATATTTCCGAATCTTCCGGTACCAAATCGTCTTTCCACAATGCCAACTTTGGATGAAACCGGGTTTATAAAGAATATTTCTAGACTAATAGCGAGCTAAACAACTGCCCGATCCAAAGACACATAAAATGGTACGATTTGTTCTGTTTCTGTTGAATGCAGCGACATTTTGTACACAGACATGTATAGACGACGTATAAGCGTCCATTTTTGGGCGTTTGGCGAACTGCATTGCCATGCTGTGAGAAAAACATTTTTTGATCTGAAAAGCTCAAACCACGCCAAATCATCACACGCAACGTCAGCATTTTAACCGTGTCGTGCAAACAGTGCCAAGATCACTGCAACAGATCAAGTCAAAATGCCGACAGAACACAGCCAAACGCCTCACCTTTGACCAACCCTTTTTGGTTGGTGTCACTCTCTCTATATCCTGAAATAAATGTAGCGCAACTATATTATATTAAAAGGAAATGAAAGTTGTTTCGAAACAAGAGAGAGAGAGAGAGAGAGAGAGAGAGAGAGAGAGAGAGAGAGAGAGAGAGAGAGAGAGAGAGACAGAGAGACAAAGAGACAGAGAGACAGAGAGACAGAGAGACAGAGACAGACAGACAGACAGAGAGAGACAGAGAGAGAGAGAGAGAGGAAGGGAGATAGAGAGAGAAAGAGAGAGAGAGAGAGAGAGAGAGAGAGAGAGAGAGAGAGAGAGAGAGAGAGAGAGAGAGAGAGAGAGGGAGAGTACAGAACAATAGAGTGGTCAGAAGGCCACTTCCGCTATAGAAAAAAGGTTTTCTAAGGAACAATCCTGCAAACTTTGATCAAAGTTAGAAAAGAAATACAGGCGGTACATTTTCACACAACTATTAGCTAAAGACGTACATTAAAGGTTCAAACACTTCAACTGTTAGTTCGAGAGGTCAGGAAAGGACAAGGGCGAGCCCAGAGCTACATGTGCACACTGTAAGAAAAGATCACAAAGGTTCAGAGGAATAAAAAACAGCTTTTCTATACAGACGTCCCACCACAATATTATTCTGCCTAGTAACATAATGGGACAAAAAGTTGTAACATATTTATGTGGTAGAAAGGACAATATAAATGCTACTTCAAACCCTTGATTTTAAAGACTATTAAATAGTTAATAAAGAACAGCAACTGACCAAAATACATTTAAACTCTGCAATTTGCAGTTTTCGAGAACACTGGAGCTAAGGAAATAACAAAGATTTTGCGGCCATTTTCCCACTACTTTTACCTCTGGCATCGGGCAAACCCCACCTCCTACATCTCGACTTCTATTCAAGTTAGAACGGCAATTGTTGTTTTATTATCGACAACAGGACAGATGAACAAGCTTTACAATGTCACCAATAATTTTATATTACACCTTTAAAAATAGACGGGCGCATGATTCCACTGCGTTGTGACACATTTAGTTGCATTTGTGTAAATTTCGGGCAACAGTTCCCGGCACGACTGGGAGAAGTCACAGGTGAAGAGCTGGGGCGTTTACGTAATTTGAACTCATAAAACGGAAAGGAAGCAAAGTTTTGGCGGCATTCGTTTTTCACGGATCACCAAGCTCATAACAAGTTTCACAACATGATCAGACAAGTACACGGATACAAACACATGCAACACTCACACACACACACACACACACACACACACTCACACACACACACACACACAAACAAAATTCACAGGGAAACATACACAAACTTATAAAGAGGCGCTTTCACACACACACACACACACAAACACACACACACACACTAACACACACATACACACACACACACACTCTCTCTCTCTCACACACACACACACACACACACACACACACACACACACACACACAAACAGACGCATCAACGAGCAAAGCGAGCCCTCATTTTTCCTCTGAACCTCAACAAATATCCATCACCAATGTTTAAAGTCTAAGTCACTCATTTTATGGTTACAGGTCCGTAAAAGAGGGATCATTTATTATCAGTAGAGACAATTGAAAACAGAATAAGCATGGCCAGGAGATTTATACTTACCTTTATGAGACGGCCATTTTGTCTTGGTGACAGAAGATTATTCGATTGCTCCTGATCAAATTATGGTACACATTTTAGAAGAGAAAAAAAAATAATAAAAAAATCCCACAATATTGCAATGAATGTGCTGCTCTTTGATTAATGGTGCCACATTGGAGTTCAGAAAAATCAAATGCGTGAATTTACAACGTTATACCCCCCCCCCCCCCAAACATGTACATAATGCTCACATTTCCATATCAACACAGACTGTTGGGTAAACATATACGCCTGCCTTTTTTTAATCGCCAGAAGCCGAAACTGTTGGTTTTTTTCGACGATCTAACCTCGAGACTGGATGAGTCATGAGATGCTATCAAGGTATTTGAGGGTGTCACTTCCTGAGAGCAGCTACATAGCCATTAAAATCGTGAGAAATCTCCAAAACTCTGATTTTGAGTTAGCTGAATTCCAAGAAAATGTGTAATCCATTTTTTAAAGATTCAGTATCAAGCAATATAATGGGTGCATGGCAATTTCTTCTCGTTCAAAACACTTTGAAATAGATACTTTTTGGGGGGGTCAAAACCATTGCTACGTAAAGGAATTGGGCTGTTGTTAGTAGCATCTCATACTTGAACTTGTTAATTCATATGAAAATAAAAAAACAAAACAACATAACTAGAATAGATATGCAGTACTATAATCATAATTATAATATATGCATACAAATAGATTGAAAATCCTGTACATCCGTAAGCAATACCTAAATGCTCACAACTCAAGCATGCCCTCGTCATCTTGTATTTGGCAAAGCGTCAGTCAAAATAAATATAGGAAAAAAGCAAAGGCAGAAGTTCAGAAAAAGACTTCCCTGTATCTCTGTCCGTCTGTCTACCCCCCCCCCCACCCCCCTTCTCTCCTTCTTTCTTTCTCTCCCTCTCCCTTTCTCCCTCCCTATCTCTCTCTCTCTCTCTCTCTCTCTCTCTCTCTCTCTCTCTCTCTCTCATGCATACAAGAACAGGATATAACACTATCATAAAGTCTACATGTCCGTCCGTCATCCATATTCGTCTCCACCTTCCTGTCCTTATATCGATCATCCAGACAAAAACCCTCTCCCACCCCTCTCCCTTTCTCGCTTCCATTCAAACTAATTTAAGAAATTGTAAGTTTTCACACCAAGTAACTAATCTACAAGCTTGCAAACTGCAACAGATAATGATAAGTTTTAAAAAACGCAAAATGTACGCAAGCGGTTAGCTTCATCATGCCCACATGGAGCAGTGCAGCGTTAGGATTGTATGCAGCAATTGATGTTTACCTCAGCCACGTTGCCATTTTGGTTTTCTGATTGCTTTGATTTGACCTGATCGAATAATACATCAACCATGAGTACAGGAGATAAACGACAATGTACTGTACACAAGGTCAATAAACAGCAAGGACAAATAAAATAGGCGTTCACATAAAAAGACAGACAAACAGACTTCATACACGGACGAAGAGTGCAGAAAAGCAAAGGCAGAGAAAACAGTGACCAACACACACACACACGCACACACACACACACACACGCACGCACGCACACACACACACACACACACACGCAGTATTATCTATGAATTAGCCTCTGTCCGTACGTCTACCATATCCATCAGTCATCTCCTCGTCTCTCCACAAAATTCTCCTTCATCAATACACTTCCGACTCCCTTCTTTCTTTCTTCCTCACGCTGAGACACATTCCGAACACAATTGTTTTTAAACAAAACTGTTCATCTCGAAATCTACAACTTTAATCACACGCACCGCTTGGCAAGTTCAAAAATAGAATGTACAGTATTATGATAAAGGTTATCCTCATCGTGCATACTGGTTGCAGTGCAGTGTTAAGATGTCACAGCATTTCGAGCTTACCTCGACAACACTTCCATTTTGTTTTACAGGGTTCTTTGACTTAACCTGATCGAATAATAAATCAATGATAAATGAAGGAAACAAAGAGCTCTAAGGCAAGAGAGACAAGCAATCAAACAAAGAGTCCGACAGAAAGAGATCACAAGCGGACACAGGGAGCGAGCCAAAAAGAAACCAACGACAAGACGAAATGTAAAAACAAGATGGACAAAAATAGTTCATTGCTAATGCAAGCACGCACGCGTGCGCATACACACATACACTCACACACACACACACACACACACACACACGCATACACACACTTACACACTCACAAACACACACTCGTACACACTCACACACACGCGCGCGCGCACACACACACAAACACAAACACACACCTACACACAAAAACACAAACACACACAAATAAACACATACACAATTGCCTTGGCAATCTATCAATTTATCAGGTCGTCTACCACATCCTGCAGGCTTCACCTCCTTGCCATTCTAATCATCTCACTTAAGACAAAAGAAAACAGTCATTGTGGACATAACACATTATCAGCAATTAGCGAAACCGGGAGCGAGAAAGCCTACTGAGTGGATAACAACAATATGTTTTGGTACGTGTCCAAGTACGACTAGATCTAAGTGTGATCTTGAAATGCGTATTTTTTATCATTATGACGAATTATCCAGGGCCTTGAGGCTTTCATTGGCTTTTTAAAAAGTTTCAAATTCAAACTCGCTCAAACGGGACATTCCGCCCCGCCCCCTTACTTGTCTTGCTCACACTACCCTTAGCCTGACACGTTTCACACACAATTGTTTTTACATGTATAACACATTTCTAAATCTACAAGCCAAAACTCTCCGACGCATCTGTGACTATGATGTTACTGTCAGACTGTCATTGCTCACAAAATATCATGTTTGTTCATTTCCCGAAAGGGGAAGAGTTTTTAATTTTTTTTTTTTTAATTAAGCATTTCCGTCTCTATGCGGGGATTTACTATCGGCTACGCCTTACTTACTAGGCAAAATTCGAAGCAGTCTATCTACCATATTATAACCTAAATTGTGTCCACTGGGCCTTAAACACGTACAATAACTCGCCGACAATTACATCTTCGACACACAGGAACAATGATAATAATAAAACAATCATTTAAAAAGTTAGATTCTAACTCTGCTAGCGGTTAGATTCACGGTGTCTACACGCACTAAGTGCAAAGTTATGATGGCACAGCACTTTCTTCTTACCTCCAAGGTACTGCCATTTTGTTTTACAGGCTTCTTTGACTTATCCTGAACGAATAAACATCGAATATCGTAAGTGTAAGAAGCAAAGTACACCCCAACACAGTTCGACAGGTCAAAAGGCGTTAGGTACAGGCAAACGGGTGAGCAATTTAATGAGAAGAGAAACACACGGAGGGAGGCATGTAGATTCAAAGAACAACCGCAGAGAAAAGAATCGTACAAGCCCTCTCTCATACATACTTTCACACACTTTCTCACACACACACACTCTCACACACACACTCTCTCTCTCTCACACACACACACACACACACACACACACACACACACACACACACACACACACACAC